TTTATAAATTAAAGGAAACTATGGTTTATGTATTAAAGTGAAGAGCTACAAAGTTTTATTAAATAGTATTGTGGAAGTCATGAGAAATTGAACTAAATAAATAGATGGTTTATGTGAGTGAAAAGGGAAAATGATATAAAATAAGTTATGAAATTATAGGAATATAGAAGATAAGTCGAGAGATGTAGGGAAATAGAAATAGATGTTTATTAAGAGTCATAGGAGAACAAATATATGTAATATGATAATGAAATATAAGACTATGTGGATACATGGTTATGAGATAAAATATGTAATAATAGGAAAATATGATGAAAGTGAGTTTATAAGAAGTGATATGAACTAGGTAAACATGGGTAACAGTATATGCATAATGGAAACATGAGTTGGACAAGTACATAGTGGTATGATTTATTATGAGAATTAGTATAATGGAGCTATATGAAAATATTATAATGAATATATGAAATTGAATTAAGTAAAGAGATTAAATTAGTACCTAAATAAAACTACTATTAAATGATATATGTTTAGAAATACGACATAATTTATAATCTAAGGGAATACAAAGAAATGGAGCATAAGGTAGATAATATGATATCTGTTATTATATATCTATATGATATATGTCATCAGGTAATATGAAAGGACTCTGAAAATTGATGTAAGCTATGAGAAAGTGTTCTAGGTGTTTCTATGGGTTATATGAAGCATATATGATCATATGTGAACAAGATATGATATGTATGTTTATATGAATATCTGAGAAATGATCTAAGTTATATGATATGATATATGTGATTATGTGCACTTTGGGATATATGTTATAGGATATGGATCTATGTAACTACGTGAGAAAGTATATAAGCTATGTGACAGGTAAATGTGACTCATATGAAAATGTTCTATGAGTAATTGAACTATGTGTTATGTGAAATGATAAGTATAAAAGAAAATGCCCATGTTATGTGTCTTGAGAGCTAGGGGTATAGTTGGCATGCCAAGAGTCGAGGGTCTATGTGGTCCTTCGGGACATATATGTATTCTTTGGAACATGTGTGAAGTCTGGTGAGACACATACTTGATCCTTGGTATATGTATATGATTCTTAAGGAATGATATGTGGTCCTTCGGGACATATATGTATTCTTTGGAACATGTTTGAAGTCTGGTGAGACACATACTTGATCCTTGGCATATGTATATGATTCTTAAGGAATGATATGTGGTCCTTCGGGACATATATGTATTCTTTGGAACATGTGTGAAGTCTGGTGAGACACATACTTGATCCCTAGTATATGTATATGATTCTTAAGGAATGATATGTAGTCCTTTTGGACATTATTATATGGTACTACAGTGCAATTCTACGCGGCACTACGGTGCAATTCTATGTGGCACTTCGGTGCATTTATATGAGCTGTGGTGACAGCATTAGTGCACAGCCTCCATAAACTCACATATTTATAGTTCTCACATATGCACATGGGCTAATCAAGAGATATAAACAAATATATGTTAGTGTTATGATAAATGTTATAGAAATGATAGGATGTTGTGTATGTAGAGTGTTTGATTGAAAAGGTTAAGTATAAAAGTATGTGATTACATGATAAACTATTAATGATGAGTTATGTATTTATTTATTGTAATTAATCTGATATGATTTTTCATGATATGAGGGAATCATGTAATTTGATATAGCATGGTAGAGCAGAACATGCATGTATTGATATATGTTATAAAGTGCATTATAAGTTTTTATGCCTCACTAAGTCATAGACTTAGCGTGTGATTGTTTCACACGTAGGTTATAGAAGCTAGAAGAGAAACAAAAAAGTGTAAGACAGGTCAGCACATCCCTTACAAAAATTTCAGATCAGAAAATAGAGAATTTAAATGTTTTGGTTATTTTGAGTATAGTTGGCATGTACTAATTGGTTGAATTAGTTATGCTCTGATTGATTTTGGGTATTGTGGTCAATTTATGTAATTAAACCGCTTTTACTCTAAGGAAAGTTTTAAATTTTCTTTGAATTTTGTCAAGAGTCAAAGTTTGAAAAGTCAATGTGACACCTCATACTCGTATCTGGGTCGGGTACGGGTTGGGGGTGTTACAGACCCAATGTAGTCGATAGAAGTTGGCAGGTAGACTATCAATATCTGATACTTTTCTAGGATAAATATCACAAAATGTTGCAACAATCTCATCAGAAGTAAATTTTAAACATAATGCACGATTCATACCAAGAGTGATAACATGTACAATAGCATTAATAATAAAATCATCAATAACATACCTAGAGGATGTTAACAAATTCACAAAATAATCAACATCAATACCCATCCAAACTTGTTTACCTGTCTTTCAAATTCCTTGACCAATATAAAGACCTCGAATATCATCTCTTTTCTTTTTCCCACTCGTCTTGGCATGAAATAAAAAGTATTTGATCTTCATTTGGCAACTATATTACTTTCGGCCTTTGAATCCAATAAACTCTATAACACCCATAGCTCATATATGTCTCGTAATATGAGTTAAAGATGTCACATCATTTCAATAGACATTTACTGAACCTAAAGGCTTAAAATTTTTGTTTCGATTTAAAATATTCTTTTTATCTTTTAAAAATATTTTTCCTTTAGTATGCATAGTTATAACATAATAATTTATTGTTATAAACAAAGCTGATTTTATGCAGCAATTAGGCAGTTCCATACTGTTTCATATCTATATACAATTGCCTAATGTTGCTTGGTTTAAAGCCATTTCAAATCATTCATATTCATTCATAAATATGGTTATAAATAAAATTAACCAAATATTAAAATGGTTATAAACTGCTATTTCATACCCTTTTTTAATATAAATTTGGTAAAGCAACCCAATAGATATAATGTACATGTCATTAATAAGTCAAAGTTAGGATGTCTTACTGATACTGTCGGTAGGTTTTATTTCAACAAGATGTTGGCACGCTCCTCACTTCACGTTTTTTTCTTTACTTAAACTTTCGCATGAAAATCATCACGCGCTAAATAAAACTTAGTGAAACAATAACATAGCTAAAATAAGATAAAACATAAGATTTCATAAAACATTATAAAACATAAATCTGAAATTAAATAAAAGCATTAAAACTTTCAAACCAGGCTATTCATGTTGTTTTCCTCTTGAAAACCTGAAAAATCATTATCTCATGATTTTATCAAAATCATGTAAATCAACATTGAATATCATAAACAACTCATGTTCTTTTCATTCGAACATATTTCACAAGTTTCATTTCAATTCCACATTCTTTTCTTTCATATTCTGTCATAAGTTTCACATTTTCTGTTATAGCCCAATGTATATGTAAGAGAATACAAGGTACGTGAGTCAGACGAGTGTGTGCAATAAACACTTTAGTGCTTTCATCACAATCTGAACAATATAAGCACACACAATGCTATCACATCGGAATCATAATATGCACACAAAGTGCAATCATATCTGAAAAATATACTAGAGTGTCCACCTGTAACACCACAATATATCATAATCACTCCACCTCATAGTATGCCAATTGTACCTACGATTCTCAATACAATATACAATGGGCTTTATTTTAAGTTCATATTATTTATAATTCAACGTTTTCAATCAATAGCATTATTTTCAATATCATTCTCATAAATTTATAATTTGGGCAAATTATACCCTAAACATTCATAAACATTATATAAATAATTCGTATTTAAAATAGAAAACTTGTGTTTAAATTAAGTTATTATTTAAAATGAATTAAAAGTGAATATATATATATATATATATATATATATATATATTCTTTATTTGAGATTTGATTAAATTTGTGTTTTATGTTAATTTGTGTTTATAAAAAAATATTTTTTAAAACTTAATTATAGTATACCATTTAAATGATAATAATTAAATTTAATAATATAAAATAAAATTGTTGGTAATAACTTGACTTTATAGTCCTTCATATCATTTTTATTTTTTAAAAAGTTATCGGATCAAATATGGAGATAATATTTGAAATGAGAGAAAATAATATTAAAGCATTAAATTATTATCAAATATGATATTGATACTCATTAAACTATTATCAAAAGTGATGATTGAATAGTAATATAGTACAAAAAGAGAATAAAACACACATTATTTTACTATTCATCATATCTTTAACAAATATACAATAACAATAAATTATTCAATTATTTTTACTCTTTTATCGGGTTAAAAATTGAATCAATATTCAGTTTGGATCGGATTTGAATAAACTAAATTAGAATTGATTTTGGTTTGGATTGCTTTCGATTCGGGTTATTTTCAATTCGAATTACTTTTAGTTCGGGTCAATTTTAGTTCATGTTACTTTCGGATCGAGTTAAATTTCGTTCAGTTCACTTCCTGTTTGGGTTATTTTTGATTCGATTGTTTTCAGTTTGAATTAAATTGAATATAGGTCCATGTTAGTTCAGCTAAAATTTAAATTGATTTTGGTTTGAGTCGGGTATAATTAAAATATCAGATCAAGTTTAATCATCATGTTTGAGTATGTTTGAGTCTATATCAGGTAGAAAATCGAATAAATCAGTTTGGATAATCGAATTAGTGTCAGTTTTGTCGGGTCTAATAATAATAGTAATAATACGATGATGATAATCATGAAACCATCAAGCTACTAAGCTATTGAAGGCAACTTCATTAATATATAGAATTGTCACCGAGAAAAAGCAATTCATTAGAATAAAGATAAATTACAGCACTAATTACGATAACTAAACGACGATTACAGGAAAAGGAGAAATAAAAATAGCTTGAATTAATTATTTACAGGACATTACGAGGATACTGCCTTCCTTCTTCACTTACTCTTTCGCTGCAACAACCGCCGGTTTTTCAACCTGTTCATCAGTTACATGCTTTTCATATATAGAAAGAAAAAAACATGAACAGATCGATCGAGTCAAGTGTTTTTTTAAATCTTTTAGGTTGCACCCCAAATCTCTTCTTCTGGTGCAGGAAGAGCAACGATCTTGTTTCTGGGATTCTCATAGCTTAATAACCCGCCTACTGCCGTCGAAAAGAAGCATCCTGCAGAACCGATGGAAGTCGAGTCCATTCAATTAATATAAAATTTTACATCGGTCCCTAACGGGACTTGGAACAATCAAAGTTAGTTGCAAAATGGGGATATACCCTGGGGGGAAGGAAGCAATTGACTTGCCACAAGCAGTTTTAAGCATCTCTGCATCATCAGAGAATGCCACGAATCCATTGGCTGTAATCCCCCAGTAAAGAGGTACCTTACCAGACTGATCCTGGTAAACAAATAGACTGAGTAAAAACTGCGAGCAAAACTGGTAAGTAACAATGACAAAAATTAACTTACAGAAGCAACGAAAAGTGTGGACGTGGACTTGTCGAATACCACAAATGCAAAGTTCCCGGCGAGATGACCAACGACATGGCTAGGAGGGTAAGGAGCTCGGTCACGCAACGCCTTGTAAGCTTCTATCACCAGCATCACCTTATCGGCAGACTTGGCTAGTTCATATTCTTGTCTCAGGCTACCTAAGTTATCAAGCATGCCCTGAAACAAGCAGAATATATCATCTTTCACCCCAAATGATCTGCACCCATCATTTAAATCATAATTTCAGCAATTTGTTACTTATTTCATTGTTTTACTCGTCTCTTACATGTTCTCAGCTTACTAAGTTCTATGGGAGTATAAAATACAACGGGATAATATAAGATTAAAACAAGGTTGCTTGCAATCATCCGTTGTAACCGAAAATTTTATTTGATATCTAATTCTTTAGAGTTAAATAAATAATATTTTAAATTAAAATAAAAAAATATTATATTTTTCATGACCAATAACCGATCACGTAAATTGTATAACGTAAATTGTATATTTATTTTGATTATAATCTATAAAATTATAGTAAAAAAACCTTACAATATTCGATTATAATTAAAAATTTATTAATTATACAAATTTTAAGAATAAACATAATAATATTATAAGTTAAAATACAATATAATTTAACATTTTCAATTATAATCGAAATATGAAATTATTATTGATTATATAACTTAATTATAAAAATTATTATCGATTATTTAACTGATAACAAATTAACCTTATATTTATCCACCGTACATAAGCACTACCTATGTTTATCATTGTAAAGTAAAACAGGTGGACCTGAAATTTTGAAACGTGGCAAACATGCAAATGTGATGGAACTTTTTGAATATTTCATCCTAAGTCACAGTGGATCCTGATCCCAAAATGAAAGACCTGTTGTATAGTCAAACCCCAGATTTTTCTTGGTTCAAAGGTCGAGAGGTCAGTGTTGAGCGTGTTTACCTTGGTCGGAGAAGAGATTCGTTTCCGCGCGAGTAAGCCAAGTTAACTTGATCGCCGATTTGTCTGGAAACCCAAGAGGGGTTCAAGTTGACGTAACGTTTCATCAACGTCACGGCGGTGGTTCTGGGTGACGGACTCCGGCCTCCGGTGGCGTTACAATTTCACTGCTAAAAACGGCTAACATGGTTATCTCTGTCTCTCGTGTTTAGCCAATGAAAATTGCTATGAATGGCATGTACTACCATTTTATAAGAAAAATAGATAATGTTAAAACTGGCATTTCATGACATATTGTCGTCGATGCTTCCCATGACTATCAGTGTACTGAGCAGCAAAATCAAGGCAATTAATTGGCCAGTCACCAAGGCAACACTTGTAACATTATTGGAAGTTATCAACTATGTTATGCTTACTCTATATTTATTATTCACGTCACATCTCTATTATCATTTCTTCGTTTATAAAATCTTCAAGTTTCTAAACATATTTGATGTCTCAGAAATTTTATATTACTACCTTTTTGACATAGTTATATAACATATGAATACTTTTTATTATATGACGATGAAATCTATTTATATTATTTTTTATAAATAATTATTATTTTATGTCTAACACTTATATAAAAAATTCATCTATAAATCAAATATGAGATTAAAAAGTACTAACCTTCATTTGCTATCACCATTGAACTTTAATTAGAGGTCGTATCCATTGATGTTGTTCCTTAAAGCAAGGAAGCATGGGTGAATTCATTTCTAATTCCAATTATTAATAGCACGGTCCATTTCAAACCAACGTCTTAATTTTCGGGGGTTCATTATCATTACATGGGATAGAAAGACACGTATAAATAAAGAATTAGAAAAAGAAATCTAAGCAATAGGGAAGGAAAGGGAAAGAAAGAGCGGCGTCCATTAGAATAATCAGCCGGCTCTAATGTGTAGATTTGTTCTTAAATTATATGAAAATCCACCATTATTTATGAAAAAGGTAGAGTTAATGGATTCCACCACAGGATACACGTTGATATTACTATAAAAAAACTAGTTTTTTGTGTTTCTTCTTACATCATTCACCATTACTTGATGTAATCTCCCACAAAGATATGTACATCATTGAGACATAACAATGTATGTCGTCATATCAAAGGGCAATTGGGTATTAATTTGCCTAATTATGCATGGACATGTCTACATTCATACATAATTATGCATGGACATGTCGTCATGCCAATCGACATGTTCTGTTAACCGGAAGATATTAGAATATAAATTCAGGCACCCTTAACTTCAAAAAGCATAGGGGCAATGGAACTACATTTACAGGTAATGACTAAAGCAAATAAATTGCACTCCATCGAAATACATGAAGTTAGAAATGCAGCATTGTGCATAAACTTATTTTATTTATGAACATGGGGGGGGGGCAGTTCCTGACCCCTAGAACTACCAAGTGCCCTCCTCTGACATTATCAGGAAATTCGACAACGTGATATTTGGGAGCTCAACGACACCCGTTTTCTTCTTCTTTATCCTGGTCACCTTCAGCGACTCCACATCCTTTGACTGTGTTACTGTTACCGAGACCAAGTTGTAGAACTGTTCAAGGAATGTCAAGGGAGAAAATTATCTGTATCAGTAATGGACGCTGGCAGTTAATGAAGCAGATTGAGAGGACTACCTCACAGACACCGTGCAGCAACAATCTATGGAAAGGATCTTGGACCTGTAATGCAAGGACATCTCCTCCACTTTCCTTGATAAAGGTTCGTATGCAATCCTGAAAACGGGAAGAAATTTATTCCGCCTAAGAAGAAGACTGGAGAAGATGTCAACTTGTGTTGGTTTTATGTTATATTCCACTCCCGAACATTAGTTGTTTGATTACTTCATTAATTGATGACATAAAATATTCAACTCGAAATCCGCTATCAAGCCCTTCAAGCGGATGAATTCCGACTCTTATGAAAACTTGTCTGGTGTCTGGCGTGCTACTAAGCACACTAATGCCACTAGTCTGTTTAATCAGTACTTATCCCTTTGATTATATCACACATACTAAGCACAGTCCTACCCCCCTTGCACTTGAGAAAACAAATAACTTGATCAAGAACTAGTCAACAAAATAAAAGAAAAAACTCGAGAAAAGACCAACAATGACAGTCATTCTCAAAGAAAGAGAAGCAAAATCACGTACCTCATAGCCTGCAATAAGATCTGAAAGGAAGCTACGGCGAAGTACATCCCTTGTTCGATAATCAATTCTTTTCCATGCACTCAAGAAAGCCACCTTATCAGCATCAGCATGAAATTTCTTCTTTGCAGATGAATCATTTAACCTGCCGATAATTCTAGCCTAACATAGAGGAATATATGGTAACTTAAGCATGTTGCCACAGTACATGCCAGTCCAACACGATAGATGCCATGCTAATACAACATAAAAACCTTCTTATTATACACTTACCTCTTTATCCATGTCTATGTTCCTAAATTTGTCCCATTCTCCCACGTTTGTCATGCAAAATGCCAGTGGTGGCACATCATCACCTGTGAATGAAATACGAAGAAATATAAGTACAATAATGGGACACCATGTGACCAGGACCCTAAGTATGCTCTACTACAATAACAATGTTTTCATCCCTTCACATATTATCATGTTAAAGTTGCTGTTCTACCAATATCATGATACTTACTAACACATTCTTAATAGCTCAAGTTACATAGCTATTGTACTCATAAATGCATCAAGGATGAACCGAGGGGGTGCTGGAGGTAGTCGTACCCTTGGAAATTTCAAATTCCTATATAATTTAGGTGACCTAATTTCGCATCCCTAAATTTCTAATATAGTTCCTAAAGGTTCGCACCCCTAATATAAAATCTTGCATCCATCCCTAAATGCAGCTAATAAAAGTACAAAAAATGAAATGAGAGACATCCCAGAAGGACATGTCATTACCCCATGGTGGTGGAGCAAATAAGCCTCTTATTTCTTCTGCATTCAAGCGAGGAACAAGTTCCACCAACAATCGATCATTTAACCATCTTCGAGAGCGCCTGTTCGTAACCTGCGGCACATAAGCAAGCATTTCAGGGAGTGAATAGCTTAATCTAGAAATATCCCGTGCAAGTACAGGAAGGTAATATTAAAGAGCTAATTTTTCAAACATGTTTGAAATTTGCAAAGAAAAGTTAAATTAATCCAACACTTATCACCAAACAAAGGAGATCTCAATCATTTTCATCTTCTAAAATTGATACCGCAAAATGTATGATAATAATAGTTTTTTCTTGAATATGGGTTCGTCTTTTAGGCCCAATCGGACACAACAGAAGCATGGGAGACCCGAGTTTTAAGACGAGACATTGTTCGATTTGGCTTGCCATTCTCATGGACCCCAAATCCCCAAAAATTCAAAGATAAAAAAGACCAAAGGTATCCAAATAGCGGCATTGGACTCTGTATCTTTCGTTTTTCTCTTCTTGAAGAATGTAGGCAATGATGATGATGCCTAAATGTGCTATATAGACCCCTATGGAACAACAACAAAGATTTAGGTTGCCAAAGGTAGCATCATAGATCCTTTGCAGCCCATTCACATAGATTCAATGTCTTTTACTACAAATTTCGACGATTGCATGGAAAACAAACAAAACTAGTTCCTATTCTCCACTCATTAATTGCCTCAGAATGGTCGTGTTTCTAATAATTGTGTGGGTCCTAACATGGTATAGTGGCTACATCTTGTTTAATATTGATTCTTATTATTACCATTATTTTGTAACTCTTCATTTCAAATAATCTTGTTTGGTTCTCATCAAATAAAATTATTAACTCTTCATCAGTTGTACAATGTACACGGTGACCCCAATCATCTATTTTTTTAAATGATACTATTCTATACTAAACATCACATTAATCGTTTAATATATTATATTTATTAATCATTTTAATAATCTTTATTTTAAACTCATCAAATGACATCAATGATAAAAACGAAGGTTAATCTCCTTACGTATCATAAGTTCATAAGTTTAAGTAGTTGTAATTACTTCTAGATGTATTTTAAAAAATCTTAAAAATACACGCCATTTGATAACTTTTGAGCTAATTGTAATTTTAGGCATCCTACTTTACATTTCTTACAATTTAGTACATTTTTGCAATATTTAATTTTTATTTTGACCGTTTTAAGTTTTGTATTGTTTCAATTTAGTCTAGGTTTGATTCTTTTTTATCAAATTTAAATTTAGCTTCTTTTCATTTAGGTCCTTATTTAATTAAATTAATTAATAAGTGATCCTAATAAGTTTAACTTCTTTGAATTAAGTCCTTATGTAATTAAATTAATCCCTTGAAGTTTTATCACCTTTAGATGCATCTTTACATATGTAAACCCACATCCTCAAACAAAATCTTATCTTCCTTTTTTGAAATGCACTCACTTTTGTGTTATTTTGGATTAGAATTAATGGGGACATACGTAACAAAGCCCCAAGTGACACGTGAATGTTGAAAGAAAACAATCTTAAATTATACATCCACTATACAGTGTAACGAGTTGAATTGAACCGTGACACTAAAATACAATCTGCTAATACCTCATTCCATTGGTCCAAGTGTATCAATCTTGAGACTCAAGGGGTTGCATTCAAATTTATCCACTTGACAGCATCCTTCCAAACATTAAGTCACTCAGCCAGCCCACCCATATAATACTACAATTGCTTAGAGGGGTTAGTGATTAAGCATCCTAGCTAGCATTTTCATGAATTGAGTTTGAATTGATAGGATCAAATTGTTTTTATATGGAAAAAATTTTCTCCCCATTCAATCATCGAATGCCTACCATTTTGCTGCTTCTAGGGTCGCAATTCCCTTATAATTTCGTCGGCTGGATATATTATATGCTCTTATCGCATTAATTGGAAGCCAAAAAGGATAATGAGAAGACGTGCACTCTATAAGTAATAAAAAGAAAAAGGTTACTTGAATACATTAGCTAGGCCATGTCGATTGATGCAATGGTAACGCAATGCTCGATAAGTTGACAAGATGCGTGGAGCACCTTTGCATGGCCAACTAAAAACGAAAATCACAAACCTTGAATTTTTTGGAAGGAGTTACGATAACTTTAGATGATTCATCTTTTATGATTTAACTGAAGAGTTGTAGCTGATTATTTAGATGTATAGAGACGGCAATGAATGACTCCCTAAGAGAGAACAAAAGAGAGAAAAGAGTGAATTTTTTTCACTCACTTATTATATCTCGGGGGTGTTTATCTATATTCTTAATATCACTTTCAAGATAATGATCAATGTTTATGTCAGCAAAATGAATTGACCTGACTAGCTATTATATAATATGCTTGTCAATTATTGTTGGGATTAACAATTGATCAGATTAAGGGATAGTAGGTATCCTAAATATTAAACAAAACTCTAAAAATGCAAAAAATATGTAATAAAAAAATAGAGATTAGCTACCCTTTTAGATTAGGTCAGTAGTATTGTCCGTCGCTTTAATTTTAGCCTTAGTGGCTAATTAGGGTTGGGATGGTGCTTAAGTAGGGTTTGAAGAAGCACTACATTTGGTGCTTCGAGAGACTCCAAAATGGAAATGAAAAACAAAACTAGTGCTCTCCAACTTTCGTTTTTTGGACTTTCATTTCTTTGTGTAATCAATCCACGAGTTCCTGAAACAGTAGTATTTATCGTGATAAATCTGCTTCCAAGCTATGATATAAATATGAGAAAGTTTTAAAAGTAAGATGAGTGAAATGATAAAAAATAAATTTAAAAGTAATATTATTAGAAGGAATAATCATAAACTTAGCATAGATTACAAAACAATCATGAAAAATATAAATTAAAATTACTCAAATCACTTTCAAACTATAGTCCAGATCTTAAACTAAATCTCAAATTTTCTAATATTATAATTGAATCATGAAAGTATCAATATTTATTAATTAGATCCTTTTGTAAATCTAATCATCAATTTGAGTGTTAAAATGCGAATTCGGACTTGACGTGGAGTATCGTTAATTAAAACTTATTGATCAAATTTTAAGTATATATATATCATATGACCAAATTGAATATGATAAGATAAAGTAATAGCTTTTCTAATTTTCTTTTACTAATCTGTGATAATAAAAAAAATTTGGTCGGCAAAATATGTTTTATTAATAATCAAGACCTAAATTAAAAGCCTCGTTAAAAATCTTTCTATACCTAAATGGAGAAAAAGTGTACTCTTAACTAGGAAAGAAAACAACACCAAAACACGCTAATAATAGAATTAACCCAAAAACCTAAATAATTTTCTCTCCCGCTCTGGGGTGTGGATTGCGTTGGTACAGAATTATTGCTAAACTGAAGAACTCAAATCTTAAAATTAGGTTAGAGAGACCCATCACTTGATTATGGTGAACAAGTACGGATAAAGAAGACTTTCTGCACAAATTGAATTATTGAATTCCCAACAAGCAAAGAAATAACCAAACAATTATTTAAAAAAAAAAAAACTGGTAAAAAAGATGATTGATCTTCCGAATCAATAAAAGGACTTCCATCTTTTCCTTTCACTTCTAATTTGCAAGTTATTTTATAACCAAGGTATTGATTTAGGGAAGAAAAAACCCTTGAGATGTTATGTCGTGTTAGGGCAAAGAGATTCGTGTTTGACGATCCCCTTGTACCTGATGCTTCGTCTATTGCTAGTTGACTTATTAGGGTTTCTAACGCAAGTGAAAGTCATATTTAAGTTTCTAAATCTTTCCTTTTAATCTCGTTTGTACTGATATGGTGGCTGGTATCACTTATAGAATTAATGATTAATGATAGGTTGATAAATTCACTTAGCTGATGAAGATGAAAAATTATAATCGATGTTAGCTTAGAGAAATGAGAAGGAAGTATTGAGCAGATTCACTTAGTCGATGATAAGAATGATAACGGTCGTGTCAAAAGATTATAATCAAGTAAAAGAAATGATTAGATTCCTCGAATGAATCTTAAATATTTTAAGAATAACTTTAAAATTTTTAAATTTTAGATGTAAAAAAAACAATAGAGATATAATTTACCAAAGAGACAAAAACAATAACGATATATAATTAAACCCTTCATTAGTAAAAAAGTAAACAGTCAAATGACGTATCTTCAGCATTAAAAAAATGCAAATTATTGTGACAAACATTGCGTGTCACTGCCTTTACAACCCTCCACATCGTCAAAACTCTGACCTTTTTCCTTTGGAGAGAAGAAACTAATGAAAAATTAGGAGATGATTAATTTGCATAATTTGTCAAGTTTGACGTTTCTAGTATTCATCAATGGCTTTCCTTCTGATTTTGACATCGGGAAAGAACGTGAGTGAGGTGACTCTTTGCACGGCTGAATGCGAAATGAGTTCCCACTCCTAGTCGGAATCGGAATCATATAATTGTATTAGCCAAAGGCCAAAGCAATAGAGTCCAGGCACAGGTAGCAGGTAGCAAATGAGCTTTAGCAAGGAATATAAATAAAGCTAATTTTTTCTTTGTCTAAGTATAGATCCGTCGGTGTATTTCGTAAATTGATCGGATTGGTTATGGAATATAAGTCATTAAATGTCATTATTGTTAAAATATTATTTAAATGGAATATATAGGCTTTACAAAGGAGTTTCAATATATAAGTAATTGTTTTAGGAATAAATTCATTAAACACTATCACATGTAACATGTAAAGATGCCATTTCACAGTTCATTGTTAATTGATGATAATATTTTAGGGTATTTTAAAATTTTTAGGGTTACATTTTATTATAGGTAAGTTTGTAATATTATATTAATTTAAGTTTTATTATGTCATGGATTTTAGACTCACTAAGACTCCCCTTCATGTTTCGAAAGTCTCTCTTCCTCATTCCTTCTAACTACGATTATGATTATAAAAAAAATTATGTTTAAGTTTTATTTAAATTTATTTTAGTTTGTGTTCATAGATATTTAAGTTATAAACTTAATTATATATTTTATTGATTGATTTGTTTTGTTAGTATGGGGTGAATCTAAGGTAGTACTTAATCGAAAGACTTTCAATCATTTGACAATGAACTATAATATATCTTTACTGACGAACTTAAATCCTT